CCCAGCGCCGAATTTCTGCAGCCGGTCCTCCCCGCTCCCAGCTGCACGCAGCCCAGCGCTGCACGCGCCGTAACTCAGCTTTATTAGCTGCCTTTGTAGGCAAAGGGGTTTTAAAAGGAAAAAGCCTTTGGGGAAAAGAGATAGACGGGGGGATCACTTCCCCCTTTTTATTTATGCCAGGACGGCTGCATGCAGCGCACCGATGGCATTCAATACCCCGGAGAGCCAATTACCGCGGAGCGCGGCCACGGCCAAGGCCGCGCTGTTCTCCACTTAATTTCCTTAATACAGTCACATCGTCTCGGAAAAGCGCTGCTGCTCAGGGGAAGGTACAAAGCAGGTTCCCAGCGGGAATCCCCTGCCCTGGGGAAGGCAGGCACAGCCTGGGCAGAGCTTTGGGGCTTCCCTTCTCAGGGGCTGCGGCTGGGGGGGCCACCCCCAGCAAGCACCAACACAACACTGTTGTCAGGTTTTTATTTCAGTCTCATAAACATCCTTCCAAGAAATCAAACCATAAGAAGAAACCAACTCATGACAGGAAAGATGAGCTGAAGCCTCAAAATTGACTGACCCGGGGGGAGCTGCGGGGAAGGGAGGGGGTTCCCAGAAAGCTCAGGAACCTGAGCCACGCAGATCTCACCCGTCCTCCCCGAGCTGGTTGGCAGAGTTCGGCCAGGCAGAGCCACACCAGCCTCACGCAACGGGACCGACGGTAGGGAAATGTGTTCTACAAACCCCTTCTGCAAAGCAAATCCCACAGCTGAGCTCCCTGTCTGCGCCCCCGGCAGGGACTCAGCTCGGTGCCGGGCTCATCTCCGCCTTGCCTGGAGAGCCAACGCTGGACCCAGCAGGTTGTGCAGGTACCCATCACCCTCCTTCCTACCCCAGCCCCACACAGTGCCCGGTGGGCAGCCCCCACCATGCTGCCTGCGGGGCTTCACGTGCACCCCCGGAATGAAAACCAGCAGCTGCAAGGGAGAGAGGGGGCCAAGTGGGGCCAGGAATTCAATGTTATGTCTCTTCTCATGCACATTAAAGGCTTTGCTGGTGGTGGTCTTTAAAGCCAGCGGGCACGGCCATGCGGCCGCTGATCTCAGCTGCTGCCAGGGGTCTGCCCACAGAGACCCTGCAGGATGGGCCTTCCAGCCCTTCACGCCCATCAACCCTTCACTTGGATAAAGAGCAAGAGAGAAACCATCTCTGCACGGGGAGCCCGCTCCAGGCGCCCACAGCTCCCCAGGCAGGAAGCCGGCACCCTCCTCAGCACCGACCGCCTGCGTCGCCCCAGCAGCCAAAGCGGTGCCAACCCGGAGAAGCAGAGGAGGAAACCCCACAGCACCCAGGCCATTCTCGGAGCGTCGGGACGCACCCCATGCTGCCGCCTCGCACGGGGCAGGACCACTCCACCTGGACGCAAAGGGCCGGGCACCCTCAGAGGAGCACAGAAAGAAACAAACCTACTGCCTCCTCTGCTGTTCTGCACACAGGGAAACCTTTATGGCTGGTCTGACACAGGATGGTGGCCCCGAGCGGGGAGAAGAAAAACGCTGCTGAAAAGATCTAAGTCCACCAAACGGGGAACGGAGGAGGGAAAGTGCCCCTGCTTCCCAGGAGGCTGCTCCGGCCGCAGCCATGAGAAGCCACGCGGTGACTCCTCACATGAACATGTCGTCATAGCCCGGGGGGGGAAGGTGGTCAGGATCTGGCCTGGAAAGAAATTCAGAGATGAGTCAAACCAGGAGCGAGACTCCATCCTGCAGCAACAGGGACAAGCCAGGAGAGCCAGGGGCAGCCCAGAGAGCAGGCAGGGCATAGTGGGCACAGCTGAATACCTACCCAGATCGACCAGCTCCTAATGGGCCAAAGGGGTCAAATCTGGCACCTGGTGGAACTGCTCCCGGGGGAAGCCGGCCTGGAATGCCTGATGATGGGTCAATGCCAGGCTGCGGGAAGCCAGACCGGAGAGGATCCATAATCATTCCCCCACTCCGACCTCTGGAGAGACAAAAGACAGAGGAGGAGATGAGATTGGCACCAGTGAGAGAGGAGCAAAGCGCATCCCTATGCTGCAGGATCTCTGAGCACGGGAACGCGGGGTTGAGCTGACACCCAGCACATGGGAAGGAAAGCACCCCTAAACCACGGCAACAGGGCCAGGGCGAGCCAGCGAGGAGGCGAGCCCACGGCAGCGAGGCAGAGAGCGCCTGATGCGTGGCTGTTGTTCCCTCCGGAAAGCATCCCAAACCCTGCTCCTGCCCGGGGTTATCACAGCCCTGCAAACCTGCCCACACTATGCCACGAGGTCAGGGGCAGGATGCGAGTCACGGCTCATCGCCATGCCGAGGTGCGAGTCCCACGGCTGCAGAGCGCACGGCCAGGCCAGGGCACCAGCAAACCCCCAGGTCGAGCTGCAGACACGCACAGGGAAGGGACAGCCCTCGCCCACCTGCCTTCCTCAGAGCTGATGCCAAAACAGACACTCGGAGCAGCGGACAGACAGCTGCCCCCTTCCCCGGTTCCTGCAAGGAGCCGTTCAGGGCATCAGCAGTGGGCAGGAAATCCTGGGAGGCTGCGGACCATCCCGGGGAAGCGGTGGACCCGCCGGCCCTCGCTGCTGGCTCCTACTCCCATCCCTGCTCTCCCGGGCGAGCAGCACGTCCTGCCCTGCGCCGTGTCGCAAGAGCTCGCGGACCCGGCCGGGGCTCCCGGCAGCCTTTCCGAAGAGCTGCCTGGAAGTCATTTGCTGATCCTGGCGGCTCCTCGGAGCTGCCCCACGCTGCGAGTGCCATTTCTCATGGTCGGCTTTGTGCAAACTCGGCTGGAGCCTCTGGACACCGCTGCCATCATACAAGTCATTAACAAGCGCGTTAATGAGTTCCATTACGCCAGGCTGGCTTCCCGAAGTGCCCCGGGACAGCCGGGCCCCCCGAGTGTATGCCGGGGATCTGGGTCCCCGGCCCCAGCGCTGGCAGGTGTCAGCACACAAATCTGCTTCCATTTACAATCTTCTTTTGTCATTTACAGAGAAACTTCTGGTGAAGGGCTGGAGGCAGTGAGAGAAACAGGGTGCCCCCACCACTGAACCCCCTCTCCTCGTGTTATCGGGTTTCCTTCCAGCCACCCAGGCTCCAGGCCTCTCCTTCCAGCCCGACAGGACATTTTTAGCTGGCCCTTTTCTAGCCAAACCCATGGAGAACCAAGTCTTGCAAGAGGGGAAAAAATGTGATCCCCACAGGGGAGTGATTCCAAAGAGCAGTCCCCTGGGCCGCAGGACGCTCTGTAATGACTCCAAGAGCTGGTTTTTGTCTGACTATGTGCTTTTAACTGGAATGGAAGATGACAGGTTCTCCTTGCCCGACCAAACCAAAGACCAAGAGATGTATCTGTGAAGATCAGTCCCCAGGCAGTCCTGCTTTTACTCAGGCTTTCTCTCGAGTGCTTCAGACAGCCGGGAGGCTCACAACCAGGACTTGAGAATCTGTGAACTCGGCTTTAAGCCTCCCCTTCTCCAGACTGCTGGGCTGTAGACACAGCAGCTGGCAACATTTTTAAATTAGAGGCTCACATTCACTTAACGACGTATTCAGCTTTGATTTACTGAAGGAATTACTGCATGTTAAATGAATACAAGCTGATTATTAAACAGACGCAGATTGCAACCCATCATCTATGCAAGAGACGGGATCTTGTTACGATATTAGAGCCATACTGAGGTTTAGCAACTGCCAATTGGTCCCTTGCAATTTGCACTGAGCAACTGTCCCATCGCCGTCCGCACTCGGAGACGCTTTGCTGGATGCTCCAGCTGTTCCAGAATAGGTCCCCAGTCCCTCCCCGCACATCCCACGGGCACAGCAGGGGACGCTCCCCGGGCACACCAAGCACAACCTCTCCCAGTCATACTCACCCCAAAGGGTTCAGGTCTTCCCCACCAACAGCGAAGGGGCTCAAGGGAGAAGGCCTGAAACACAGAACGCAGTGAGACATTCCATGGAGACCAGCTGCTCGGAGCGAGCACAGAGGCAGCCAGCGTGGCTGCTGGTCCTGTGCTCATGGGTGCTCTCCCACAGCAAGCACTGCAGCACCTACAGGGCCTGGGACCTGTGAGACCCTGCGTAGAGCGGGCTGGCGTTGAGAGCCACTCTGTGCCCAGGACGCAGCGTTCCCTGCTCCAGAGTGCAGCTGGGTGTCGACACCGGTGTGCGTGGCAGGCTTGCAGGAAGCTTACTGAGATGAAGGGGGCCCTGCTGTTCCCACTGCTCCGGGCTGGAGCTGTCTGTGGATGCTGGGAGTTTCCATGCCAGGGGCTCCCCGAGCAGTGCTGGGCTAGGCCAGGCTTTCCAGCATGTCCCAGTCAGAGACACAACAGCCCCACTTCCAGGAGCACGAGACAGTGGGGCAGTGAGCCTGCAGCCAGCTGTCACATCTCCTTGCTAATTATGTGCTGATAACATGGTTTCATGGCCATCCCCAGCTCCAGCCTGTCTGCCCAAGGAGCATCTCACACCCTGAGCACCAGCAGAGAGCAATGGGGTTACAGAAGCAGGAGGTGATATGCAAGACAGAAGCCATGGCCGGTCCCCAAGAGATGGCAGAGCCACCACAGTGTCTCTGGCTTGAAGCCAATGGGGATTACAGCTTGAGGGGGGAGAGACGGAGAAGCCCACCTGCCATGTACAAGGGATAGCTGGGCATGGAGGGATGGTGGAGTGAGTGCCATGTGTCCCCTCTCCCCAGCTTTGCCAGCAAAGGGTTTCAAAGGGAAAGCAGGGTCAGGAGAGCAGGGAGAAGGGGTCTCTGTTCCCCTCCACCAAGCCTGCACCTCCTGGGCCTGGCCCCAAGCCCCTACTGGGTGCACCATCCTGGGAGGGCAGCTCCACTGACCACAGCAGCTCTGTGCCGAGTGAAGGCAGAGCTCTGTACTCGCCCCAGCCCTCTCCCATCTCCCCAGAGCACGGACACCACAGCTCCGCTGGAGCCCAGGGCTCGCTGTGACACCCAGCGCTCTGGTGTCCCTCCTGGACACTGCCTGGCCATGTGACGGCTCTGTCCTTCCCGCTGCTGTCCCTGCTCTGCCATCCCCGGAGCCCTGGCAGCCCCTCAGACCAGCACAGAGCAGGGCCTCCCTCCTTCCACCCCACCCCTTCCCCCCAGCCCTGCATGCCACCCTCTCCCTCCTGGCTCTGTAGGTCTCCAGCCACACTCCCAGGCAATGCCAAAGGAGGGTCAAATCAACGCACAGCTGCAGAACAGGCCATGCCTCAGCAGACAACTCACATCAAACCCAAGCGCGTGGCCAACAAGGCTGAGACTGGCTGGGGAGGGTTGGGATGCCCTTTATTCCCCATCCCACGCGTGCCAGATGGGGACCAGAGGTGAAGTCTGGAGAGCTATGCCAGATCAGTGACCCGTCTAACGGAGGACCGCCAGCAGCCACCTGCTCTTTACTTACCAGGATGGTGCCCTCATGCCTGCTGGCTGCCGGGGAGGGACCCTGAGGGGGTCATAATCCCGGGACAAGGGAGGATCCTGCTTCTCAGGCTCCTTTTTGGCCTCTTCTGCAGGACCCTCAAGAGGAGCAATGATTCCCGAAGCAATCCTTGTCCTCAGCTCCTCGGTGTTCTTGTACACCCTGCAGGGAGGAGAAGCGAGGCAGTAGGTTGGGGAGGCACCTGGGTGCGAGGTGCCGGACAGGCTGCGAGAGGGGTGGGGAGGGGACAGACAAGCCCAAAGCATCCCTGGCACAAATCGTGTCCCCAGCTGGCAGCACAGAGGCAACAGGAAGGGCACACAGTGGGACCAAAGCCCTCATCCCATTTAAAATGGCAGAGGTGCTCCCCAGCCCAGGGAACTTCCTTGTGCTGCGGCTACAACCTGACCAGTTTGCCCTGGAAGAAACCACAGCTCATGGCGCTGGCCTCCGCCGAGCACGGATAGGCAGGGAGGACTCTGGAAATAAAAGTGCTGGGCTGGCCCAGCTCGTTCCCAGGTGCTGTGGCTCTACATGGAGCTCAGATCCAGGGTCCCACCCTTTCCTAAATCCCTCTTGCCTGCCAGCAGTGCAGAGGGAAGCAGGGGAGAGAGTCTCTGGCTCCATTTCAGGGCTGGCTGGCCTGCCCCTGGGTTTGTACTGGGGAGGAGAGTCCTCCAGGTTCCTCCTAACCTGGTCTCTGCCCCCCTCCCCATGTCCTGATGGGACATTCTCTCCCACAGAAAATGCCAGGAAACTGAAATTACGTGTGGAAATCGTCCAGGTGCTCTGGGTTGATGTAGTCGTTCACTGCCAAGGTCACATCTGCCACCTTCTGAGAACTGCGATCCTGGTAAAAGACAGGTGAAACACGGAGTCACCAGCCTGGCAGAGTTGGGAATGAGGGAAGGAGCAGGTACAATCACAGCTTGGGACACAAAGAACGGGCTCAACCTGTCCCTGGGCTGTGCCCAAATCCCCAGGAGCAAACAAACTCCAGTGCACAGCAAGGTTCTCCCTGCTCACTCCCCAGTCCAGACTGCAAAGGGTGAAAGACTGAGCAAAACCACCCTGGGCGGGTGCTTGTGGGCAACAGGAGGAGAGATCTGCAGACAAATTCCGAGCTGGGAAAGGGACAAAAGGGGCAACTCCTGGGCTAGAGTGCGCAAGGCAAACTGCAGCGCTGCCTCCAAGCTGCTGGTGTTTGACCAGCTTCACACTGGGTCGCACCTGCTGCATGGGCAGGTCTGCAGCCCCTGACACCCCCCAGCTCTGCCCCATCCCGAGGGACAAACACCGCTGCAAGGCAGAACAACAACAATGTAAGAAACGGGCGCTGCTGTCTGCTGTTCTTTGCACGTTATGGGCAGCAGCAGCTGCTGCACCTGAAGGACCCCAAACCCACAGGGACCAGCTCACCATGACGTTGAGGATCATACTGTCTTCCACCACGATGGCCTTCAGCAGCAGCTCACGGGCATCGTCCACGGACTTGTAGCGCAGTGTGTACACCTCCTTGTTGGCTTCCCAGCCGGCGGGCAGCAGCTCCGACTTCCTTTCATCAGGACCTGGCTACAAGAGGAGACACGCTGCTTCGACCCTGCCCAGGAGCCAGCATGCCACAGGGCTGGGGGCACCTGTCTTGGCTGCACAGAGAGGTCCAGGAGGGGATCTGGGTCTCCTGGTGAGGGTCTCTCAGTGCCACCCAGGTTTCAGCCGCAGGAGCAGGGCTTTATTTTCTATGGGAAGGCCCTGCCTGCCTGCCAGTCTGACACAGGGTCCCCGTGCTGGAACAAGAGGGACACAACCATCCTTTGCTGGGCAGGAGGAGGCAACAAAAACCCAGACTGGGGGATGCTGCTCTTCCCTGCCTGGCGCCTCGCAGCTCCCCAGCTGTCTGGAGCACGAGGGAAGGCTGTCGTCCTGTTTGTCGCAGCCCCACAGCGGTGCTGCTGGGGGGGCAGTGCCCCACTCTGTCCCCTCTCCTGGTACTGGGGGATTCTCTGCCAAGA